CCTTGTTAGTGGTTTCCAAGTGAGCACTAGAGGACCCACATCTCCCATCCTCAATATGCCGACAATACTCTTTTGTTCAGCGATGCACAGCATGATCAGGTCGAATCTCTTCGCCTGTTCTTAAGATGCTTTCAATGGGCCACGGGATTCAAAGTGAACCTCTCCAAAACTACTGTGATGGGGGTGGCCATAGACTCAACCGAGCTCTCGCAGTTCGCCAACCTTTGGGGGTGTAAGGCCCAACCCTTACCTTCCTCCTACCTAAGTCCACCCATGTGCATTGGTACACCCAAGCTTGTCTTTGGTCCCACTTAATTGACAAGTTCGACAAAAGATTTGCAGGATAGAAAGGCAAGTTTCTTTCCCTGGCAGGAAGGCTTACCCTCATCAAGGAAACACTTTCAAGTATCCTTATTTTCCAAATGTAAAAATGTTCCGGAAGCTATCAGCGAGCATTATATTGAAGAGGGAGATGACTCTGATGATGATGGCCTCGACTTTGATGCATATGATGAGGCTTGCCCTATTAATATTTCTTCTTCTTCTGATGATGATGATAATGACGGCGACTGAAGACTCTTGTCTCTTGGTGCTGAGTGTGGAGTCTGTTGACTGTTGTGTTGAGTCATGAGTGTTGACTTTTGCTATACTGTATATTTTCTAAATTTCTGTTGTGTTGAGTGTTGACTTTTATATTCTACCTACACTTGTATGGTTTTACAATTTACTGTTTTAACAATATGGATTATCAAAATTCTCTTCTCAACGTTTATCTTTTTTTTTTCAACTTGGAGTATGATATTATATTGGTAATAATTTGGTATGGCTTTTACTTATTTTCAAATTTCAACTGGCAGCCACCCAGGTTTTTGGGCGCCTGCCTAGGCGGTTGCCTAAGCACTGTTCGGCCTGGAACCCCCAGGCCGCCTAGGAACCGCCTAATGCTTTTTGATACACTGGCTCAGAGCAAGGGATCTATGGCGGTGGAGCTTCACGCATATGGATTGCAGAGGTGGGCAGAGAACGGGGCAGGGGTTTGGCGACGGCCGTCGTTGTTCAGGTGCCAAAGCCATTCGTCCGAAAATGGCATCGACAAAATGTAGGGGGGTAAGCGCGGCAACGGTTTCTTGCCTTGCGCACAAGGGTGCATCCATTTGGTAACGGAGAGAGAAGCCCCTTTGAAAGCCGGTAAAGGGATGCGCAAGGCAAGAAGAGATGCCTCCTGGGACAGGAATAAGAATAGGATACCGACTCTCTGCAGAGACCTGCAGCCCAACATTAGGTTTGTTTCAACCCTTCTGAGCCCATTTTTTGATGGCCCTCTGATCGCCCCTAGGGGGGTGGAAGCAGCTCACAAGGGAATTGAGAAGAGCCTCCGAAGGAGAGGGATCCTGGAGCCGGAAAAGTCGTAGAGCCCGAGAGGTGTGGAGCAATGGCGACAAGCGTAGAACACGTGGACAAGGGGAGGGGGAGGGGGAGGGGGAGGGGGAGAGGTAGAGGATTAGGAGGGGGTTGGCGAGCTAGGGAAGGCTGGTCGCGATAAAGATGGCGTAGGACTGGTACAGGGCTGGCAAAGGTTGGGCTGAGGGATCCATTCTTTGGATCCTGAGGTATTATTGGACATAAGAGGATACTAGCCTCTGTGTGTGTGTGTTGTTTTTTTTTTTTTCAACTATTATATGCATCCTCCCATATTTCTGATTTGTTATTACGCTTGACCTTCTCCCCGCCCACCCCACCAAAAACAAAAAGAAAAACTTGAAGTTTCCACATGATGCTTACCTAGTGATGATTTTTATTTAATAGAAGTTAATGATTACCTGTCTATTCCTGCTATTAACATGTCAAGAAGTTATTGATTACCTGCTTGTAAAGTGAATCCCCTGCTCCATTTTGTTAATTTGGTTAACTTGATCCAGCTCATGTTTGGGTCTGGTTCAACATAATGGAGGCTTATGGCCTCTTTAAACTATTGATTAGTGACATGGGGTTTTTGTTCCGCATCCTTAATTCTAGGGGTCATGCATACCTGATAATTTATTTGGTTCTCCACCTTTGGTTTGATGATATTAAAAAAAAAAAAATGGTAATTGTTGGAGCTATTTTTATTTGGTATAAGGTTTGCATAGTAGTAATTAGAAAATGATTGTTTCTTCAAAAAAGATTTAAAAAATGATTGTGCTAATCTTTTCTTCTGAGTGAGATCCAACCTTGTTTCATGAGGTTGATTTCTATGGTTTTAAGGCTTCTTTGCATGTTTATGCATTTATTGCTTTCCATCATGAGGTGACATGAGTAATCTCATATCTACTCATCCCACTTGGTAACGGCTCATCCCACCTTGTGGGTCGTTTGGATCCTTGTGCATGCGAACTCATGTTTTGCATACTCAAGTTATCTCAAGGAAAAAGCTGTTTGGCGACCTTTTTTCCCCAAAGTTAGATTGTTGCTAAGCAAAAAGTACCTCAGAGCCTTACTATCTCAAAGTAGTTAAAAAAGGACAAAAAAAAAGGAAACTCCGTTATGTATAACATGATTATGCAAAAGCAAACTTTTATTTACTTGGGGCATGAGCTGCTCGTTTACTGCTCTCTATCTCTCTCTCTCTCTCTCTCATCATCATCAGTTTTGTTGTTATTATTATTATTATGTGTGATTTTAATATATTGTCAATTTTATTATAATAGAATACAATAGAATAGAATAGAGTAGAATATATTATATATATTTATTAATTTTTTTATTAACATATATGTACGATATATATTATTATGTTTATTGCATAATGACAATGATGAGAATACCTACCATGAAATAAATATATATTAATAATTATCGCAATCAACCCAACAAATACGGCTACAGGAATCTTGATTCTCTATTCTGTTCTATTAAAGGTTATGTCCTCAGCGAGGCCATAAGTCTTTATATCTTTTCAGTCTACTTCCAACCATGTCTTTTTGGGTCTACCCATTGTTCTTTTCAGTCCTTTCACTTGAACTAACTCGCACTTCCTAACAGGTGCTGTACTTGGTCAGCGCTACACATGGCTAGCCCACCTAAGTCTACCCTCTCATTTTATCACCTATTGGTGCCAAGTCTAAATTTTCTTGAATAGATTCATTTCGAATTCTATCCCTTTTTGTCTTGTTACTTATCCATCTCAACATCCTCATCTCTGCTACACTCATTCTATGGGTATATTGTTTTTTGTCGGCCCAACATTCTGCCCCATAGAGCAAAGCTGGTCTCACTGCTGTCCAGTGTTTCAAAAAGCGGATTGCCGAGAGCCTGGGCGGCCGCCTAGGCGGTGCGCCCAGGCCTAGGCGGCCATATTAGGCAGGCATCCTCAGGCGCCCAGCAACCCGCCTAGGCGGGGCCGCCCTGCACCCCGCCCAGAGGTGAAAGTACTGCTCGTTGAGGCCATTTTTGGGTCATTTTAGGTCATTTTTCTTAAATACTGAAGGTGAAAATTGTGGGTTTAGGGTTTCAAATGAGCCTAAAACCCATTAGAGTCTATTTTAGAGAGAAAAACAAACAAATTTTTTTTTTTTACTTGGCCGCTCAGGTTCTAGGCACCTGCCTAGGCACTGAGTGGCTGGGACCCCCCTGACCGCCTAGGTACCGCCTAACGCTTTTTGAAACACTGCCGCTGTCCTATAGAACTCGTCCTTCAACTTCATTGTTATAAGGTGATCACATAAAATTTCAGTTGCACATCTCCACTTCGTCCAACCAGCTTTAATTCTGTGTGTAACATCTTCCTCGATCTCTCCATTTTTTTGGGTTATGGACCCAAGATATCGAAAGTGCGGTCTCTATTCATATTATTGTTAAACTTGCATTCCATATATTCTGTCTCAGTCCGACTAATTTTAAAACCTTTGGATTCTAGAGCATCCTTCCAAAGTTCTAACTTTGTGTTGACACCATTTTGGGTCTCATCAATAAAAAACTATATCATCTGCGAACAACATGCACGACAGTACCTCATCCTCTAGGTGGTTAGTTAAGTCGTCCATAACTAAGACAAAGAGGTACGGGCTCAATGCTGATCCTTGATGTAGAACTATTGTCATTGAAAACTCACTCGTCTCTCCACTAGATGTTCGTACACATGATATGCATAATATTAATATATTGTTGTATACCATAAATAATAATTTATTATCGTTCTTATCCTGATCACCAACATCATCATCATCATTATTAACTTCAAAATAACATATGATAATATATTTAAGGACCATATGAAATAATGAATATTAAACCTGGCTTAGACAAACAAATGACATAAACAAGATATATGTAGAACCTGAGTTCCTTCCAAAAGCTATCCAAACAGCTCTGCCCCCATAGCCTGGTTTTGGCGTAACCATGGTTTCGCATTATCAGGTTATGATTCAAGACCTGGGCTCGCATATGCATAGGTGACCAAAGTGTCCATTAGGGTTTTGTTGAATGAATACTTTCATTGAGTGGGGCTCTGGTGATAACCTTGTAATGAAGATTGAAAGACTTGATTAGTACTTAGAACATGAAATTTTGGTGCTAGTAGCTAGATATTGATCTAGGGGGACTAGTTTCTTGGGTTTTTTATCTTTGATGAAGATATTGATATTTTATGGGGTTTTAGATTACCCAAGAAGTTCCATAATATCACTGTGATTGAGACCAACGACCTCTACCTGCCCAATTATCGGGCCTGTTTGGCAGGCACGAGAGCCTTTTGGGAGCCCATTAGCATGATTTACTCAAAACATGTCCTTGAATGATAAAAAAGTTTTCATGCTCGACTCAAGACCACTATGTTTTTGGAGCCACTTGAATCCTATCACGTATTTCCAACATAGCTTGCTTATCATCTGAATTTCTTGCCCAATGTTCTGTAATTCATTTTTTTTTTTTTTCTTTTCCTAGAGAAGAAAAATTTATTGATTTTGCAAAGGGAAATTTCATATTGCCACTTAGCGAAATTTTTTGTGGTGATCGACAATCAGGTCTTGCTTTCAATTTGTTCTTTGCTGACGGATCCAAATCCCGATGATCCCTTGGTGCCAGAGATTGCGCACATGTACAAGACTGACCGGAGCAAGTATGAGACTACCGCACGGAGTTGGACCCAAAAGTATGCCATGGGCTAGTCTCAGACTTCAGCTATGTATGAATATGAGTAAGAAAGGAAAAAGATCTTTCCTAAGGACTGCCAGCCTTTCTTGCTCAAACTCTACGCTTTCCCCGTCATTGCCCTTATTGTCGTACTCAGTCTTTTCTCCCTGTGCATGTGTTGTGTGTGACTTATGCCCATACTTCTTTTGAGAAAAATATAAATGCATGATTGGGGGAATGATAAAAAAGATTCCCCATTCTTTCTTTTCTACAACGCCTCAAAGCCAGGTTCAAAAATATTTTCGGTTTGAAACCTGTCGTTTCAGCTGAATCTGGAATTGACAACTTCTTACACGTATCCATAAAAAACAAATAATTCTTTTTCTGGATTGTGGGCTCAAATTTCATCTAATTTTCGATTAAAACAAGTCCATTAGGCATCCTTCTGTTTTTAGCTGAAGTCATTTGCCAATGTCTCTTTTTAGTTAGGGATGGGTAAGGGGCCTTTGTTTATAGATTGTGGTGTACGGCTGTCAATGGTCCAGACCGGGCCTCAAGCTTTTGGGCCGTGCCATAAATTCAGGCCATTTTGGGCCTGGTAGGGCTTCAAGCCGGGGTAAAGGAAAAGTCGGTCTTTATCGGGCTGGGCCAGGTTAAAGGAAAGTTGGTCTTTATTGGGTTGGGAAGGGCTTTAAACGGGCCAACCCGAAATTGCTTGACAAGCCCGAAGCCCTCCTTGCCCCACTTCTCCTGTCTAAATTCTCTCTCTCTCTCTCTCTCTTCCATCCACCATCTAGTTCTGTCACTTCCCTTCGCCATCTGTCCTCTCTCTGCATCTGCCATCTCTCTCTCACTTCCAAAAATAGACTTTTGTTGGTCTCTTGCGAAATCCTATTTTCTTTTGAGAAAGGTTTATATGCTTCCCCTATAATAAAGAATTTCTATCTTCCTATCATCCAGCCGTCCAATTTTGATCAAGAGAGCCACTCACTGTTTGATTTTAGATCCATCTCAAAGTATTTTATTTTTAGTTTTTTTATACAAATTGTATGACTATGAAATTTGGTATGTGTCATCTTCTCATTGGGGTGCACCTATAAAAAATATTAAAAATAAAATTTTGATAAAATATAATGATCAAAATACCCTTTGAAACTTTAAAAGGTATTTTGATCATTTCATTTTATTTAAAATATTTTTTTTTATTATTTTTCGTTAGTACGAGTTTAATAGAGGAATAGATGTCCAAAATTTGGTGTCAAAATAATTTATAGAAAAAAAATTAAAAATAAAATAGTATAGAGTTGTGATATTGTGATTGGGGCAATCTTAGCTCTCCAATCAGAATGAACTGTTGGATAAGGGGGAGGATAGAAGTTCTTTGTTGTAAGGGAAGCATAGAAACCTTACCCTTTCCCTTTCTCTAGAGTGACAGAAATAGGGTTCAAGTCTTCTCTCTTTATCACAAGCTGCCAGTTAATAAGCAATATTCTCACTAGAAACTTCATTCTTTGCCAGAAGCTGAGTAGAGATGGATGTATGAGGTTGATGAAATCAATCTCCTAATCTCTTTCTTACATTGCCCGATTATGGTAACTCATTTTATACAAGAAAAACGGATTTTGGGTTTTTAGAAAAAGAGAGATTGAGTTTCTAGAGAGAGAGTGAATGGGTTTTTAGAGAGAGAAAGAGGGGGCGGTGGGGTGCGAATAGGATTTTAGAGTGGGTTTTTAGAGAGGGGTTGGTGAGGATTGGGGAATGAGGTGGTGAGTGGCCATGTATACTCAACCCTCTTTCCAATATTTTTATTTCCTAATTTCGGGAATTTATTTATTATTAGATTTGATTAAATTTAAAAGTTTTTTTTTTAGGTCAAATACGGATTGGAGCTGGCACTGTCAGTGGACTCAGAAAAAGATAGGATCTGTATAGATTTGGGACTTTTTTTGAGCCCATAATTCAAGCGACCTTTTAAAAAAAACTTAGTTTTGATAAGATTTGAGCAAATCTCATTTCAGAGATATGCGAAGATCAAAGCATAAACAGTTTGGCGCCCACCGTGGGGCTCTTAAACTTCAGATATGTATTTTAGATTTTTTTTTAAAAAAAACTTCTTCTTTTCTTCTCATATTTATTTTCAGCAAAATTCAAAAATTAAAAAAAACCTTTTAAGGCCTTCTCCTTATGGGAAAAAAAAGGTGACAAATTTTCTTCCGTAGATTGAATGCACTGTTGCTGTTTTTTTTAAAAAAAAATTTTGTATAAAAAGCCCACCTTTTTGCATTCTGGCTGTGCATGCCTCTTTGCATCTCCTAGCACCAATTTATTTGTTTGCCGTCTCTTTCTTCCTTCTCAATAAAAACAGCTGAACTTATCTTTCTTGTTGACATTCTACTGAGATTTTCTTCTGCGTTGCGCTCACCTTGTTTGGATCTCTTTACGATTTCTTCAAAAGAAAAACACAACAAAAAAAAAAAAAAAAAAAAGAAAGAAAAGAGAAAAAAACGGTTATGATTAACCGTTTACGTTCATTGCCATCCATCCCTAAGGTATTACCCATGTTTTAAAAAAAAATCATTTTCCACACCAAGAATTTAAAGGTTGAACCATGCAAAGTTGCGGCACTCGTGACTTTCTGAAAAAATATTTCACAGCAATTTGAATCATAGTTGTCAGTTATTTGGTAAAATCCGAAGAAGAAAAACCAAGTTTACGTGGTTTGGTCTCATTGACCTGCATCCACGGTTGAAAGGCTACTCAATCATGCCCATAATTTCATTCATCGAGTATTAAATAGAAAATACAAGATAACAACTAAAAAAAAATTGATATCTCCAAATATCTCTTAAATATATCATCATGACATTCTTCACATCTAGTTACCCAAAATATGAGATTTGGGTAACTATATCATATGTGTATTATATTTCAGTAGTAAAACTGTACACGGATATATTTCAACACTCCCTCTCAAGTTGGTCCGCTGATATTTATCAAGCCCAACTTACTTAATGTTTCTTGAAACTGTACTTTGCTTGTGGCCTTTATAAGGATATCAGCAAGTTGATTTTGACTTCTGACAAATGGAGTAGTAATTTCCTTGGCTTGAACTTTCTCTTTCACAAAAAGAGAATATGTTTCTATGTGCTTAGTCCATTCATGAAATACGGGATTTGATGTGATATGTATAGCAGCGTGGTTGTCGCAATTCATAACCATTGGATGCAAAATATCGAAACCCATATCTTTGACAAGAAATTTGAGCCAAATTAATTCGTAGGTTGTAGTTGTCATGGCTCTGTATTAGGCCTCAGCACTAGATCAAGCAACCGTCGACCGTTTCTTACTTTTCCAAGTTAGAGGGTTACCCCATACAAATGTACAATATCTTGTGGTGGATCTTCTATCTGTAGGATTTCCTGCCCAATCAGTATCAGAAAAGGCAATAATATCAGTATGACCATTCTTTTTCATTAAAATACCTTTTCCAAGAGATGACCTAAGGTACCTTAAAATTTGATTGACAGCTTCAAGATGAGCAGCTTTTGGAGAGTGCATGAATTAACTAGAGTGCATGAATTAACTTACCATACTGATCGCATAAGCAATACACGTCTAGTGACAGTGAGATATATTAGTCGACCAACCAAATGTTAAAACATTTCAATATCTTCCAAAGCTTTGCTTGAGTCTATGTTTGCTTTATAATTTGTCTCAATTGGAGTATCCATAGGTTTACAACCTATCTTGCCAGTTTTATGCAAAAGGTCTAAAACATATTTTATTTGGGAAATAAAAATTCCTCTGTGAGAGCATGCAACCACAATTCCAAGACAATATTTAAGTTTTCCAAACTTTAATATCAAACTTTGTATAAAGGTAATCTTTCAATTTTGTCTTGGGATTTGAATCACTTCCTGTTATAACAATGTCATCAACATAGACAAGGATAATAACATTTATGGATTGCCTTCTTTTTACGAACATGAATGAATCAGCATTACTCTGAGAAAACCATATATCAACAAGATCTTGACTTAACTTTGCAAACCATGCCCTGGGAGGGTATTTGAGCCCATAATTGCTTTCTTGAGCTTGCATGCCAGAGTTTTGTTGTCTTCTTGAGGATGACCAAGAGGAAGTTTCATGTAAACTTCTTCTTCCAAATCTCTGTGCAAGAAGGCATTTTTACATCTAATTGATATAAAGGTCAGTCATTGTTGGCAGTGATAGAAAGTAAAACCCTCACAGTATTCATTTTGACCACATGAGCAAAAGTTTCCTTGTAATCAACACCATACGCTTGGGTGAGTCCCTTTGCAACAAGTCTTGCCTTGTACCTCTCAAATAGTTCCATCACTTTTGTATTTTGTTTGATAGACGCGCTTGCATCTAGCTGGTTTTTTTCTCTTTAGGAAGAATAACAACATCCCAAGTATGATTTTTCTTTAAAGCAACAAGTTCTTCTTTCATAGCAGTCCTCCATACTGCATTTGAATTAGCTTCTTCGAAGCTAGTGGGTTCTTTAATTGAGAAAATTTTGGTAAAAAAAGCACGATATTTAGGGGTAAGGAACCTTGTGATGGATTTCCTTGGCCTGACATGTATAGTAATCCTTTACACCAGGATGAGGTTGACTAATACTACCAGATCGTCTTGGTAGAAAGTCGTGAGGAGATATTTCCCCTTGATATTCATTTGAATGAACATCCTCATTGGAATCTTGTGGTGCTTCAAGAATGGATTCTTGAGGTATTTACTGACTTGCCATAATACTCTTATTGATTTTGACTTTGGAATCAAGACCATCTATTTTTGAGAGATCTTCAGTAGAGGTTGTCTTATTAATCTCCCCCTGAGGCTTATCAGCTTGAAAATAAGGAGTATGTTCATTGAAATCAAAATTTCATGAAATGTATATTTGCCTAGTTTTTGGGTCATAGCATTTGTCATCCTTTTGGTAGGTGAATATACCATGAATATACATTTAATGGATCGCTTATCAAGTTTGTCTCTATGATTTTTTGATAAGTGCACAAAGCATTGACAACCAAATATCATTAAATGATGAACAATTAGAGGACGACCATGCAATATTTCATAGGGCTTTTGTTATCCAAGATTCTAATAGGCAATCGATTTATCAGATGACAGGCAGTAAGAATACCCTCAGACCAGTATGATTTTGGAACATTCATTTGAGAAAGTAAGGTACATGTCAATTCAAGAAGGTGCCTATTTTTTCTCTCAGTAATTCCAT